CCTTACAAACATTCTTCTTATTTATAGTTAAACACATCTCATTACTACAAATTTCAAACTTACACTGAAGAAACAGACGGGTTACAGCGCCCTCTATAGGCATTTCTTAACAAGGATAATTCAAGTGGTATATGAGAATAGTAATAATTTCCATAAACACAGAGATTCTATTAGATCTGTTTATTATAAGTGCCACATATTTTGGCATAAAAATATGTGGCTGATATGGGTTCCTGGCTCTGATAGGATAGTCTGTTTAATTTGTTCATGTTTTGTAGATTCCTGCTTAATAGCTCTATATGCCAGTAAAGGTATTTAGATTTGTAAAGCTTTAATCAGTTTTTAATAAGCATGACATTTCTTGACTTGGCTTTTAATGGAAATTTTGGAAAACTGATCTGTCATTCTAATAAGTAACATTAAACTATCCTCATTGTCAAGACGTTATATGTGTTCATGGGCCAAAAATAATTTACAAATATACTACCCTTAAATGTTGGTCAATATTTATTACAGTTAAACTTATAAATTATTTCACCCACCTTCTTAGCACGCATTCGTGGTATAACGGTAAGCACATTTGGCGTGTATTCAAGAGGTCCATGGTTCGAGTCCCAGCAAGGGCATTGCTGTTTTTTCATATCCTCTGCTTTGAAATATCCTAATACCTCTACAAACTATTTAAATTATTGTTTACTGTAATTGTTTAAGGTATATTTTAATTTTATAATGGTTATTTTATTTTCAGTATACTTTCCTATTGATTCTTGTTTTAACTTAGAACTCCTTGACCAGAATGAGTTTTTAGAATCGCATTGAATACAAATGAGTTGGAAGTAGTATTAACCCTTTTAGGACGGGCGTCCTGTATACGCATTCCCTAAGAACGTCTCTTACAGCCAGGCATCCATGCATCACTAGAAATTGTGTTCAAAGGACGGGTGATGCGTATACGCATTTTAAGCTGGAACGCTTTTCTGAAGGCCACTAGATGGTATCCTATGTCCATTACTTTTGAAATGAACACAATTTTAGGTTCCTGACCCTGAGTTTGATATACAGTCAAAAGTCGTTAATCCGGACTCGTCGGGACTTCGGCGATTCTGGATTATCGATTTTTCCGGATTATAGATCATCAGTTTAAATCTGGTAAGATGGCATGCAGAAATTACAAAATTAAAAATATGAAACCGTAATTTATGAAATAAAGAACAATTATGATCTAAAGGGTATCAAAATTTACAAAAAGAAAAAGCTTAATATTTATTTTGTTTACTTTATTAAACATTTCCTTCAATGTAAGTTGCTTCGTTTCATGTGATAATACTTTCTCTTTAATTCTATTAAACAGACATAATTTCTTGTTTAGTTACAAAGTTCCGCTGTTCAAGTCCTATAATTGCTGTGTTGAGAATACCGACTAATTTGTCAATTGAAATGTTTTCGTTTTCAATAACCTCTGGGTCACTTTCTTCACTATCGGAAGCGAATTATAATGACGAGGAACTTGATTTAAATCATATCAAAGACGGAGTATATCGAGATGAAATACTACACTTAGAATGGAATTATAAACCAAATAAAATAAAAACATCTGCTCTGAAGATAAGGATAGTGCTGATAGATCAACTTCCAATCCGCAGCGTGAAATTTAAACCAGATTTCGGATTTCAAAACATACTTTCGCTTTGTATATACAATTACATATAGTAAATATATATCGGAAATTCTATTTGACATAATCTTTCTAATCTATCATAATCTAATAATGACGTTTTTCGTTTCTGCCCCCCCCCTCTGCCGCAGAGCAGCGTGAAATTGATAAACAGATTTCGGATTTCAAAACATACTTTCGCTTTGTAGTAAATATATATCGGAAATTCTATTTGACATAATCGAAAGTTCAAGCTTACTTTTATAAAATTGCTCTAACAGTCTGCAAAAAATAATAAGCCGGATCCAATTCGAAGATTAAGGAACAACGCAATCTGCAATATTAACTGAATTAGATAACTTTAGCTTAGCGTATAACTCCGTTACACATAAAACGCGCATGCGCACAAACATATTCGCAGCTGTAAGGGTCTTATGCGCTCTCGTAAATGCCTGTGGGCATGCGTGAACGCGACGCATGCGCAGAAAGTTTGTAGCTTTGAGGTCCGGATTATGGGTGTCCGAATTAACGACTTTTGACTGTATTCTGCTTGACTTGAGGATGCGGTGGGGAAGTGTAAATAGAGGTGGGCTCTTTAAATCACGGCGTGCTAATGAAAACATTCGCGTGTCTGATTTATATTCAATTCCATTTTTTTATATTTTCCCCCCCCCTCTACTGTGTACGGCCTTTTAGGGTTACTGTGTGGATTTCTTTTACGTTTTGTATTGCCTTCAGATATATTTCCGTTTCTTCTCTTTTTATTTAGGAAAGCCTTACCTCCAGTCTATTATTGTGGGAAGGTGCTTGTCAGAGGAAAAAAACCCTCGTATGGTTAGTGAACCATTTACTAATGCAAATGAAAGTGATGATTCATTTTCTAAAGAGTTAGAAAGTGATACTTTTTCTAAGAGTTAAAAAGTGATACTCCTCTGTGCTTCGAGATTTACCACACTCAGTCTTAATTTAAAATTTTGTTACTTCTTACCGGAAATAGCCTTTATTGTGTTGTTTTATTAATTTTAAAGTTTATTCATGGTTTTTATCAATTAAAATTTTAGAATAATTTGAATAGCGCTTCCGAAAATTATTTTACAAGATGACCAATTTTTTAAGTATATTCTCATGTAAAATAAAGAAAAAAAGTTATGAAGCGCTAATTTTAACATATATAAGAGTTCAAGTAATAATCTAAAATGATACCAAAAATTATGACGCTAGCAGTGACTTTTTTTCTGATTTTTTTAAATAAAATTAGGCTTAGTGATGCAAAACCTCCGTCCTGTGCAGTGACTGCCTTCGATTTCCTTCCGTCCCGCACGAGTGTTTTAAACAAAGGTGCTCCGTTGCAAAAGTGTTAAAGGAAGGTTCACTTCCTGAGAGAGAACTAGGAATCCTGAATAGCATGTGTTTGCCTTCGGGCAGTCTCTAGAAGCTATTATGCTTTGCCATATATTATGTGCTTTTGATACTGGCTGGCTACGTTATATCTGTGTTAGCTTCAGCTAAGTCTCTTTTACAGGGTTGCTATGCTACCTGGAAAATAGGGAAAACCGGAAAAAGTCAGGGAATTCGAAAATTGATCGTCAGGGAATTTAAATATTTTAGTTAAAATCTGGAAAAGTCAGGGAATGTCATATGGCGATCCCCCAAAAAAGCGAGTTTTGCGCCAATGTTGGAAGTGATCACTTTGTTGGTGAATTATGTATTAGATGAACGTGATTTGGACAGCTGGCATAGAGCCAATTTTCACAGCTTCAATCAGATTGTCTTTTAGAAAGGCAAAGCAAGTTTCTGGCAAGTTTGGTTTCCAGTAACCTCGAGAATCCTAAGACTCGCATGTGCAGTGCATGTTGAACTAAAGAAAATACCTTCCCATTCTCGTATGCAACAAAATCGGTTTAATCCGAATATGGAGGCTAGAATAGCCCCCCATGTACTTTGTTCTAATGTAAGAACGTCTATGTAAAGAAAGAAAGGTTTCATAGACGTAATGTAAATCAGTTAACCATAGTGCCACTAGAAAGCGGAGGGAAAACTCACCAAAGGATTTGGTGACGGAACCTGACGCCGAGAATTTTCCCCTTCGCGATGTGTAGAGAAAATTGTGGAGCATGTGTTAAGAAGAAACATTGACTCGTGATAATTTATACTTGGATTTTTTGTATAACTTGGATTTGGATACTTTTTTTTTTTTTGTAGTTTGCTGGTCTGATTTTGATTTTGTACTTCATTGCTGCTAGTTAAGTAAACAGCAAATGTTATTTATATAATCTTATAAATATGCAATAGCTATTTAAATGCAACATAATGGTTATTTTATAAATATTTAGGTATAATGTTTTGTTGTAAGGACTTTTTACAAAATTTATGACTGAAAAATTAGAAATCTATACTACTTTCTAAAAATAGAGCAGTAAATGCAGAATTAAGAATGGATTAGAAATTGCTGAGGTTTTTAAAATATATTTTGATATGAAGTTCATTGTAATGTCATAATGTACGATAAATGTGAGTTTTAGTTAAAATAATTAAAAACTTAGTCATTCATCATCGATTCATTGTTCAGTGTTTGAATGGATTCAGTGTTCAGGTTTTTTGTTATCTGTGTCGATGATTAATGTAAATGTGAGCCAGTTCAGAAAAATATCCATAAAGGAATTATTATTAAGGCAAAGACCATCCAATGTAATTTTTAGTGTAAAGTTCCTTTCAAGAAAAATATTTATCACAGGGCTCGTATGCTACATATGGTACATTTGTTTCGCAAAAATCTGTTAACAGTTATGAACAGTGATTCATGCTGAAAATTAGAGAAATAGGTGAGCTGTTCTGGGATTCATCTCAGTATTTTTAAGGCACAAGTTGTTTATTTTGTGTAATTTTTTAAAATAGTTCAGTGTTTTTTACTAATCTTAGTCAATTTAATTATATTATTAAATTATACATTTATTATATTTAATTATATCAATCAATCAATCAGTCAATTAATATTACTCTAAAAAGAATACCTATAAAAATTATATAACAGAATTTGCCATTTAAAAATTAAAATTTATTTAATACCTAATGTAAATCAAAAACATTTGTTATGTAATGTTAAACTGGCTTATGAAAATTTAAATAGTTTATGTATTCTTGTAACAAAAACTATTATATTGAATTAACACAACTTTCTTTAGTCTTGGCTGGCTACATAATTAATTCATCTGTATGAAGTTGAGTTTCATAAAACCTTTTGGAAGAGTATATTTCCTTTAAGATTACTTTTTAAGTATGCATGTTAAATTTACTTTTATAGGTTGTTATTAAAAATAATTTTAAAATGCAAATTTGATATGTGTAGCTTTGCCTCCAACTATAACTAAAGAACCAGAACCGGTAACAAAAGCTGTAGTAACATCAGTTGTTACTTTGACTTGCCGAGTTTTTGGTGCACCCAAGCCTGAAGTAAGGTGGTCCAAAGAAGGGAAGGAACTAAGTGGGGGTCGTTACCAGGTAAAATTTCTGTATGTCAAAATTTCTTATGAATGAGGGTGATGAACTAACATTTTAATACATGATATACTTTTGTGATCATTGTATAAATGTAATAAATCATATGCACAAAAGTTCTTACTCGGTCTGAATTTTGAAAATTGTTGATCATAGACATATACTTGCAGTTACAAAAATGTTCTAAGTGATGCAAATATTCACATTATTCATGTTTTGTCAATTGCAAGTAAGAAAATCAATTTTGTATAAATTATGAAAACTTAACTTTTTATAAGTTGCCCTGATCCTCAAGCTCATATTTAGGAAAATATTATACCCATTTTAAAAAGCACAATATAAAATTGCAACTCCTGGAATGTATAAAAAGTTAGATTTCATATTTCATAGACACACACAATATTATGAAAATATTATTCTTTGTGTCATTGAAAAAACTTTTTAACTGTAAGTAGATGTCGGTGACCAGCTGTTGCAAAAGTAAAAGCCAGATAAGGACTTTTGTAGACCGTGTTGTATTTTATCTTCATACTTGTCGTTTCTTCTTTGATTTCTTTATGCTTTTATTGTGCATGTAGGTATTATTTATCTGTGTAGTTATTTGGTATGTTTTAAAGGCAATTTTATCTGTATTTTGCCTAGCCTGTAATTTATGGCTTGCATTTACTTGCATAATAGTCACACTTCTTCGGCCAGTTTTTCATTCTGCAAATCTAGGTGTGACTATTATGCGGGAAAATCTACTAGACAATATTTTACACAGTAATGCTAAAACATTACTGGTATTAAAAAAGTCACTGTAATAAAATTGGTATTTTATCAAATGTTTCCAAATTATGTTCTGTTTATTAAATAGTCTTTTCATCAGTTGCACACAGAAAAGAGGCATTTGCCTATTTGTGGTAATATTTTTATAAACATAAAATTCACGAATAATCTTTGCAAAAAATTTGACAAAAAGTTCTAATAACATAATACATAATTCATAATAAATCACTTTCATTGATGGTATCATTATTGCTGTTGTAATGTGAATCGGTGTCTGAAGAATCTCCATCATTCCATAAAATGTCATCATCTCTTCCATCCAAACCATTGGAGATACTGCACATCCATCACTTGTAATGCACAATCATAAGAGAGAAATTCATTTTCTATCATTTGGAAGATTCCATGCTTTGGTCCTCTGAATTCTTGACTGTTTACATTTGTTTCTTGTAGCAATTTTTCGGATTTTCTTCAGTGCCTTATTAATTTTGCACATACATCCCATTCTCTTTCAACAGCTGTGTTTCCATTCTTTTCATATTCAATGATCTTCAATTTAAATCTTGCCCTATAACTATTATTTTTTCTAAACTTTCCCATATCGAAGCTGCTAAAAAAATAATAAAAAATAAAAATAAAAAAATTAAAATAAAGGACGTTGCAACGACATCCAAAACACATCACCATGAAATTCACTGCAAAACAAAATATTGCCAAAGATTCTTTTTCTGTAACTTAAGATATGTGCAACCCTGTAAATTTAGAGCATGTTCATACTTTCTTTAACGAAGAACGAGTTGAAAGGTTTAAAATGAGGGGGGAATAAGAAATCCTGCTCTAGATAGCTCTCCCATCCTCCCAGAGGAAGCAGGCAATTCCTTATCTCACTAGCTATGGAGTGACCTTTGAGAATGTCAATGGGAGTGACAGAACGAATGAATCCATTGTGAGCACTAGTTCTGGGAAAAGAACAGCTCATAATTTTCTATTTTCTAGATGAAGGTCAAATGCACAACTGCGACTTTTAAGCGAGGTGTAGGTGAGCGATCATGAAAGCTCCAAGTATCCAGAGGTGTAGTTGCAAGATGCTTTTTTGTGGTCGGTTACTTTTCAAGGATTAAGTGAAGTTCACACGCAACATTTACTACGATGATAATACAATCCAAAACATTTGGGGCTACAAGCTTTTAGCCCTTTCGACGCTTCAAGATACACATTTTAACATGATGATTTACAACGTCTAACTAACTTTTTTGGTGCGTCAGCGCCACCTATAGTAATACTGGCCCGCGATGAACAGTTTTTCATCACAAGCTTCATATTTAGAATGATTTTAATGCAATATTCAATACTAACAAGATTTTCAACAATATTATATGACAAGTTAAAGTTAAAATATGAATTTCAAAATCACCATAAGCTGAAAGGGGAAATTATTAAGATACTTACTATACTTGGACACAAAACATAACTGAAACTAAAATACAATTACAATAAATTATATGTGAAAATAAGAATAAAACTTTTTAGAGCCATTAAATTTCATGATTGTAAAATGGTAATGGTGAGAGTTTGTTGATAGGACATTTAATTACACCATTAATAGTTTTTAAGTCCACTACTCGCCCTTTTCCATCAGATCCTAGGTAAACATTAATTGTTTTACCTTGATGCCACCTTAAAGGTGGTAAGTTATCATCTTTTACCAGAACCAAGTCATTGGTATTTAAGTTTGGTTTGTTCTTTTACCATTTTGCTCGTCCTTGCAATTGGGAGAGCTAATCGGATGACCACCATTTCCAAAAGTGCTGAAAAAGTTGCTGAAACAGTTTCCAACGTTCTACAGGCATTACCTTATCATCAATCACATTTCAGGCATGGTTGTTAGTGCAGTTTCAGTAAGGAAGTGACCAGGTGTTAAAAGTACTTAAGTCATTGGGATCATTTGAAATCGTCACTATAGGTCTGGATTTTTATCAAGCTTCAATCTGAGTTATCAAGGTAAGAAATTCTTGAGATGTGAGCAGTTGCGCTCCTATTGTACGTTTTAAGTGATTTATTCATTTGCTTAATGCCATTCTTCCAAAGACCCCCCAAAATGTGAGGCAGAGGGCACATTAAATTTCCAAACAATGTTTTCTTGTGTTAACTGGTTTTGGAACTTTTCTGATGATAAAATGGTTGCCATAATTCTTTTTAATTCACGATTAGCACCAACAAAGTTAGCCCTTTGATCAGAAAACATCTCTTACAGTTTGCCTCGTCGGGCTACGATCCTTTTTAATGCTGCCAAAAAGGCTTCTGAAGAGAGATGTCTCACAACCTCCAAGTGTATTGCTTTCATGGTAAAACATACGAACAGGCATACATAGCACTTGATTGCCTTTATTCCTCTCCCCCTTGCAGGGTTTCATAAGGAATGACCCTGCATAATCAAGGCCTACTCTAGAAAATACTCTGCTTGGCACAACTCGAGATGCCGGAAGATCGGCCATTATTTGCGATGCAGTATTTGTACGATTTCTGAGGTATTTCATGCAGTTTCTAATAACTTTGCGTACTGCGTCTGAAGTTAATTATCCAATATTTCTGTTGGATAGCCTAAATTGTAAGTGAAAATCCTCCATGAAGATGAGTTTCATGAAAATACGTAATTATTAATTGAGTCACGTGATGCTTCTTAGGAAGAATTGCCTGGTGCTTTTGATTTTCAGGTATATTAGTATTCCTTAGCCTTCTTTCAATGCGAAGAATATTTTCGTTATCAAAGAAGGGATTCAAGGAGATAATTCTGCTGTTAGAGCTGATGTTTTCCCCTGCTCTTAATGCCAAGATTTCGACTTTAAATTCACTTTCTTGGACTAAGCGCATGATAATGTATGAAGCTCTTTTGAGTTCAGGAACAGTTAAAACTCCTTTAACTTTTAATGTTGAAGAACTGCCATTTTTCACAAATCTAAGACACCATGCTACTACACATTGCGCTTATTCCAGTATGAAAATTTAATAAGATCAAATTCATATTGATTATTGGATGCAACACACACCACAGTTTTTCGCTGCTCTTCAAGAGAAAGTTCTTTAGCTTCAGGATCTAAAATAAGTTCAGCCCTTTGATTACTGGAAGTTACCTTGCCTTAGCCAGGTGGCCCTTAAAACCAAAATTCATTGTCTATGAGATCTATTAACTTCGCACCTCATGTTACAACATCTTCAGGGTTTTCAGTGCTCTTGCAAACTGCTATTGAGAAGGAGCGATTAAATTCTGTATCTCTCTAACATGATTTGCTAAAGGCTTCCAATTATTGGCAGAGTCCTTTATCCAATGAAGTACTATCTGAGAGTCAATAAATATTGCATTGCTAGATGTTAAAGAGTGTTTTCATATAATTAGCTATCCTAGCAGCAATAGTAGCTGCCATCAGTTCCCAGCGCAGAAGTGTAAGCTTCTGTAGAAGAGCTACTCTTATTTTAGATAGTGCAAAGGATGTCTCCAAAGTACTGGAATTTTGAAGATAGGCTATACTACCATATCCTTTGATACTGGCATCGGCGAAAACAATTAGGATCATATTTTCTGCATCCATTGTTGAACCACACAAAAAATATCTTCTAGGAACATTAATGTTAACAAGTTCCTCGATTTCAGAATACCATGTCAAGAATTTCCTTCTTAGCTCGTCAAGTACCTCGGAATTCCAATCACAACCGGATTCCCATAATTCTTGAATCATAAACCTAGCTCTAATAACATATGTAGAAATTAGTCCATAGGATCATAAATTTTGGCTATGGTTTGCAAAATGAGTGTTTTAGTTACTGTTTGTTCATCAAGCGATTCCCTGAATTGTGTTACATCTAAACTGATCATGATCTGTATCCCACTTCAATCTGTATCCACTTTTGATGATTCTTATTTAAATTATTTTCCTCAACATCGATTCCACTTTTGACCCATGGTTCTCATAGAACTCTAGAATTGCTTTTTATTTTATGAAGATGTATGTTTGCATCTTTCAGAATATTCACTGCAGTAGTTGCCAGATAAAATGCTTTATCATCATTTTCTGCCTCACTGGCTATCTTGTGTAATTTAAATTTTAAATTGATATATAATAAATTGCTATACAAGTTGGGTCCTTGAATTAGACACTCGTTCAGAGATTTTGCACCTTTGTTTCTAGACGGACAGTCATACACAATACCCACAACAGTAGTTGTCAAGGCGAATTACA